CTCTTGTGGTTTGTATTTGGACTTTATTTTTAGAGGAAAGAGTGAGTAAAAGCACTGAAGGTTGATTTCTTGAAGTACTTTTTTGCCTGAGAAAGCAGGATGAAAATTGTAACCCCTGCATTTTAAATGAAAGGTGAGAAGACCTGTGTTGGTTTTCTTTGTTCATATAATCTGAGGACCCTTTGCATCCTTTGCACCCTAGTTTTGCACTACTGACAGTACTGATGGAGATGTTGATCCTGCCTTCATTCAATAGCTTTAATTTTCATGATTCCCTTTTGTAGTGAAGGGTCCAGATAGCCAACACTGAATGAAGGAAGTTCAAAGAAAAAAGGCAGAATAACAGAGATGACAAAACAATTTTGATAAGATTGCTAGTCGGTATATTCTCAACGACAGCAGGTCATATCAGAAGAAACTGATTTCATTCTATGATATTACAAAAAAAAAAGGTTTAGGAGACTCAGTTCCAACTGACATGGTTAGGGTCTGTGCAGCAGCATCACTATCAGATAGATGCAATATGGATGCCTCACTGGTTGTGTGGATTAAGAACTGGCAGATCACACAAAGTAGTGTTTTCTGTGAAGAATTTATGTATAGCAGGGTATTGCTAGCAGCATTCAACAGGGACTGACAGCAAACCTATCACAATTCAATACTCGACAGTGATTCAGAAGTAGATATAGAGGCTCTGCTGATACAGCACAGCAACAATACAAAGATTAGTCAAATATAATTAATGACAAAAACAAGACAGTCCCCAGAGAAGTGCCATTAATATGATTTGGGGCTGGGGGAGAGAGGGAAGAGGAATGGCTTAACCAGTAAGAAACTTGAGTTTCTCTGTTTAAGTTAAAGAAGAATCAGAGGTATCTTGATTACAGTACATAAATACCTTCACAGGAGGAAAATACAGCTGAAAGAAAGACTTTATTTTAGCAAGGAAATGCAAAGCAGAAAGCAGCGGCTGGAAGCTGAAACCAGAAAGGGTCAAAGTAGACATTAGCTACAATTTTTAACAGTGATTTTGAAGGGCCATTAAGGCACTGTACTGGAGGTATGAATGCATCTTTCCTCACATGATATCTTTAATCTGGATGTGATTGTCTTTTTTGGAAGATACACTTTGGCCAAACCATGTGTCGTGCATAGTCTGTTTTACAGTCTAGCTAATAGCGATAACTGTAGGAGTGAAGATGTGGCGGTCCAGATTTCAACATGGAATGCAGAAGCCTGGTAAGAAATCTGGGTCTGTCCTTAAGTTGTTAGCTCACACCTAAGTCCCTGGCAGTGCACCTATGGTGCTGCAGATTAAGCGTTGGCTATGACTACCTCACTGCAACCTTGCATTCATTCTGCTGTGTAGACACATAGGGAGGAGGTAAAGCTGAAAAGGAACATCTGAGTTGTGAAGTAACTTTAAAATGACAGTAGGGAGCTCAAACTTGAAGCTTTGTGTAAAAATTCAAGAGTGGAAGTATTGTATTGAAGTTGGAAGAAAGAGAATTTTAACAGTGATGTTTTATAAGCGCTATAGAGATTACCAGAGACCAAAGAGAAGGCATTTGCAGTAGGCAAGAGGGAGAATGAGAGCTGTGGTGCTTAATCCAAGGGAAAACAGATCTTTGAAATGTTGTGAAAAACGGCAAAATCTTGTTTGCAGCAAACCAATCAGCATAGCATGTAAATGACAAACCCATTTTCCTTTCATCCAAGAAAAGAGCTACATTCTGCTCCCACTTCCAAACTTAAAACACTATAAATGGGCCAGTCAGGAATAACTGAGACTACAGCTTGGTTTCACAATCCTAGTTTTTATTCAGTGTCATTCTTGGCACTGCAGATGTCATCTGTGGGGTCTGAATTCCATAGAGCTGACAAGAGTTTGGTCTGATTTTACCTTTCTTTGAATGATCTTAAAGATTTTAAAAACAGTATCTGGATCCCTGTTGAGGTTTTTAATACCTCCTATTCTGAGGTCACTTGGATTCAGAATTTCTGCTTAGGTGTATCTCATATATTTTTACAGGTACTCAAAAGCCTGTAATAGCACACACAGAGGTTATATTAATTTCTAGTGCCTAAATCCCTTAAGTGCTTTGGAGATTTCCCTGCTAATCCTCTTTTTAATGTGTAAACCTAGAGGGTAGGTTTGGGACCTCTGGGATTTATTCTTTGTATTGGTTGTTTTCCAACCCAAGAATCTTTGAAGGGTAACAACGGTAAGTGCTAAATACACAAAGACATAGACAGTTTATATGCTGTTTATATTATCACAGTAATCTGCCAGTCTTTTTTTGGCAAATGAAAGGAAAGAAAGTGTGACGATTATTATTAATTACACTACTTACAGTAATTTTAAACACTTACTAATATTAAATTTATGCAAAAGTGTTAAATCCTGACTGAACAACTTAAACCCTTCTCTTTCCAAGGGCAAAATAACTGTATTAATATTAATGCAGCCACAAAATACAAGTCAACTGACAGCATTTTTTTGCAGTTGCTGTATTTTATTACTGAAACTTTATTATATTTTTCATGTCTGAATGTAAAAAATGAATAAAACTATCACAAACTGCTCTTTGTTGTAAGTGACAAGCCTTTTCTTTATGATGCATGCTTTGCCATAAAAAGAGAGTGCTTAATGCATTTGTGTCGGGAGATGCCTATTTATTCTGACAAACCGATCAGCCTCGGGGGTGTTCTTTTGCCACAGAACTGATTTTACATCTCATCCATTATCTAATAAGATGTGAAAAGAGTATCCTGTCTCACCAAAAAACATCAGGCTTTGTTTCATTGCAAGGATGTGGCATGCTCACTCATGGACTTACTTGCAGGATATACAATTGTTAGCGAAAGGCCCAGTTATACACTCAGGCATGTTTCCAGTACAGCAAGCCTAGGGGGAAAACATTGGGAACATTGGTCCTGGGGATTATTTATTTTAAAGGTAAGTATAAAAAGTGGCCTGTTTAATGAGAAAATGCATTTCACATTTTTAAATAATACAGCACGAGTTTATTAATTTTATTGTTATAATCAATAGCAATGCCACATAAACTACATTGTGAGGCAGCCAGAATGTTTTTGCAAAATAATGCCCTGATTGGATTTTTTTTCCTTTCTTCAGTGTTTCCCCCTTTTCAATGTTTATGAAAGGTTTATAATTATACTTGCCTGGGAAAAGTGAGAGAGGCTGGAGTGAGGAAAGCGTTGTGTGATAAGGCAGTGATAAAGCAAGTATATACGAAATGCTTTCAGACAACTGTTTTCAGCCAGATGTGTTCATAAGGAAATCAAGTCACAAAGGAAAAAGAGAATAGGACATACAGCAGGAAAAAGACTTAAACCTGGCCATAACCTTAATTGTTAAGGGATAACAAGTCTTCGAGATATTAGGTACCCAGACAGAGAGTACCTCTCTATATGTGTTTGAGCAGTGCTCAACGCGATGAAACATCTGACCACTAATTCAGTGCAAACTGTTGTATTTAAATTATGCTCTATTACAATAATGGAGCCTCTCATACAGCATAACCTTGCAAAACTGCCTCCACTGTTAAACTATTTGCTAACAAGTGCAAGTGAATTAATAAATCTGTGTTAGTTGAAGTAAAATAAAACATTTTAAATCATTGACAAAATAGTAGAGAGAAGTGACAAGAATGAAAACAAGTGATTAGGTTTGATATCTCTGAAAGTTAGAACACTCACTCCACTCCACTCCAAATTTCCCTGACTTTCTGAATAACAGGATCAATCCTTTTAGTCCTGCACAATGCTTCTTTTCATAAAAGTGCAGTTTCTTTAGCATGACAATGAAATGTGATTTTCAGTGCTTCTTAGAAAAGTGACAATACAGCTTGAAAGAGTTCAAAATGAAATTGCAAAAGCTGGAATTTGTGGCAGACAAATGTTCTAGTGTCATGTCCTCCTGATATCCTTTATTCATTACATGTGAATGCATCTCTATCTAAAAATCAAGGCTGTTTTATCAGTCTTACTTATAATGCCAGTCAGAATGGCTTACCACTGAGAGATCTTTCAGAGTCCAGAGTTGCATCAAGACAGCATAGATTTAAAATGGCATAAAAGAGACCCATTTTACATTACTGACTTTTCCCCTTACCTGCAAGGACACAGAATTTAATGCAGCATTGATGGGTCAAAGATTTTGACACATATCAAGACAGATACCTTCATTATAGAGTTTTTTAAAAAAGGCATCAAACTTGATACATATATGAACCAGTTTAGGTGGCAGAGGCAGCTCAGACTGAGGTAGGGACAATTGTTTTACTCATCTGCAAAAGACATTACTTTTCAATGAAGTCTTATGTAAAGAACAATGTAAATTAAGGAAGATGAAACCAGAACAATTGCTAGAAATGCAATAAGGGTCTACAGGTAGTCCCCTAAAATCCATGTTAAGGAACCTATCACTGTGTTCTTTCTGGGGATTTTTTTAAATCATTCTATAAATGTCTATGGCAAGGATATAATTTTCTAGAAAATGGCATTTCATATGGCCTATGTAAAGTGATCATCCCGTAGTAAACTCAGCAATAGTTTTCCATAGGGAATGCATTTGAATCAGAACTATGAATAGACTATTTTCATTAGCAAACACTATAAAACAGAACTGCTTGTTTCAGCCAGTACCCTTCTTGTATAAACAGATTTCACTGTAGGAGAAACACGCCCAGAAATATCTCATATGACTTTATGTCCCTAAATGGACCGTGTAGCAAAATCTCATTTTTAATAATGACATTTATGTTACTTCACCAATGGAATGTATAATAATAACAGCAAAACTGTTGTGTTAATGATCAGAGTGTATAATAAGATGCACAATTAGGAGGATTATAGGAATTTAATGGGATGAGAAGGGCAAGAGATCATCTGCTATATGACTCTTCATGATTGTAACCTGCTGTCTATATCCCTAATGTGTTTTTATGACTTGTGTGCTGTGGTTTGTTTTCCAGTTTGTGTTCTGCCGTGAATGTAAAGAAGAATACCATGAAGGGGAATGCATCTCTCTCCTCAGCATGCAGGGAGCCATGGCCCAGAAGGTAGGGATCCCACAACTCATTACATCGTGATCATTATCCCTGGCCCAGCTAGAGCGACATTTGTCAAATGAGTCCTAATTATAATCCTAAGTAAAAGCAATTATGCTCATGCTGAATTACTCCAGCCATCAGAGTTGCCGAATTGGCTTTGCAGTGGATTTCAGTCACTTTGATTGATAGAGTAGCTGAGTTCTGTCACGAACACACAGGGCTCTGCCATCAGTTGATAAAGAAAAGGCCTTCCCAATGGGCTTTTGGGGTTGTCTCTATTCAGTGTGAGCACTTTTGAAAGGCTTTCTGTAGTCTTGCTGCCTTTCAGCTTATTTTCAGAGCACCAGTCAGGAAATCATGTGGGTTTGGTCTGAATAACAGCCTATGCAGAAAATGCTTGTGATAATTTATGTTTTAGCTTAGAGAAATAAAATATGGATTGCCAAGGCTGAAAGCTGTTAAATGATAATTATTCTAGGCTGTTCTATAATTTTGTAGCTATTGTAGCTATAGACCTGGACAGGAAATAGTTTTTCTCTCTTGGCATTTCTCTTTGTTTGCGATTCAATTTTCCCTTCTCTTCATGGCAAATAAATCAGAGTCATTCCAATTAAAAAAAAAAAAAAAAAAAAAAAAAAAAAAAAAAAAAAGAAAGTGCAAAGAACGGGAGAGATACCCCCTAAATATCTCACAGCTTGATGCCCAGGGTGTCCTCCTAGGAAGCAGAAAACTGATATTCAGATGTCTGGCAAGTTTGATGCTAAGAGGAAACTCAAACCCTGAGCCCACATAGTCCAACATGGCAGATGCAGGACTGTGGGCAGGTGCTGATGGGGACTTGAGGCCAGCCAGCTCTCAGCGAGGCATGGCCAGCTCCTGTCAGTGCCTTCAGGCAGGCTCTGTCTGAGGCTGGTTTTCAAGCTTCTCACTCTTTGAACTGGGAGAGAACTGAAGGCTTACTGGGAACCTTTGCCATGTGCTGCCATGAGAGAGTTCATTTGCCATACTTTGGAGACACTGCACTATGCTATGACCTGTGTAGAGATTCTTCTCTTGAACCTTTCTTAGTGAAACTGTTCTAATCTATTTTAAAAATTAGCACGGAATTAAACAGCCTGTATCCTAGTAGTTGGTCAGAGTATCTACCTCTGGTGCCTTAGAACAAGTGTACTGTCTGAGGCCCAAAATCCCATCTACTTTCCCAGCCACTGCTGATTTGTGATTCAGATGTGGTATTTCGTATTTAGCAGCTATCAGCAAATTTTTATTCCATGACTTTGTGCAGCCCCCTTTTTGAAGCCATATATATACGAGGAGATTTTCAGCTTAACTATGAAGAACAATCACCTTTTGTTTATGGTAGCTTAGAACAGCCTTTCAGTTCCCATTCACATCTATGTAAAAGCAAAACAACTTCAACACAGATACTGAGAGATATTTAAAGTACCGAAAAGCATAGTAAAGTAAGAGACCAAGGTTCAAATCTCTGAATTAAATAGAGCTAGAACTTGAATAATCTCAACATGAACAATGAGCTCTATATTCATTAAGATATTTATGCCTAGAATTTTGCCTAAAGTACTTAAAATTCATCATGGCACTTTACAAATGAGTTCAACAATGTTGTCTCTTTGGAAGTTAGAGTTTGTTTAATTTCCATGCTCTAGGGCAGAGATAAAGATGTGCCAGGAAAATCAGAATACCATAGGAAGAAGTGGCTTATTTTAAATATTTGCATATTGCCTTACCTTCTCCTGATGACTCCTGAGCACTTCATCTATCTGGTCCAGTATCTCAGCGCATGAGCTGCACCCAATTAGACCTGTTAACTTAGGAAAGTTGAGTACTTTTGCTGTTCCAGTGTAACGTGAAAATTTTTGCTGTTCCTGAAAAATTTCCGGTACTCTCAAAGAGCTGCTCCAGAATAGCTACATGATAGTACCAGAATAACTCTTGCAGCTAAGCAAATCAGTTCCCCAGTATAGACAAGACTACCCAAAATTCGTTTAAGACTCCAACTTAAGCTGAAGTTAATTGACAGGTCAGCCGCCTTTTCCTCTCTAAGAGAGCTGCACTAATTAAACTTTTCCACAAGGTGGAGATGTGCCACTAAAGGAATGTTTTCCCTCACTTCTGTAACCAAGCCAGAGAACTGAGAGGTAGCTAAAAAAAGGGAAGCCCAGGTGCTGGTGAGGTGTTGGTTTCATCCAGATAGCATCACTACAAAGCTATCCCGCAAACAACACTCCCGTACAATGCACACAATACAACATTCGTGCGGCATATGTGGAAAGAAGGGCTTGCGGAACTGTTTTCATCTTTCTCTCACTGAGATTAATTTAAACATTTAACCACCAGCTTTTAGACTGTTTGTTCTGTTTGGCCCTCCCCTGCTAGGCGCACAACCCTGTGTGTCAGAGTTAGCTCGCTATTATTTCACTGTTTGTTGTGGCAGTGAGAAGGATTGTTTTATCTTTGATCATCATCTGTTTCAAGGTAGGAATAATACAATTCCAGGTTTTTTTTAGCTCCTGCAGTTTGACTCCTGTCTGGATCTTTCCATATCACTTATTTTAGAAACAGATCTTATTGTCACAACTCCTGCCACTCGGATTTCAGGGTCAGCCAGACACACTACCACCAAACTGTTCCTCTCTAGAACTGGTGCAGGATACGTGGTCTCAGGAAAATACATTCTGTAAGAAAAATGCAGGATTGTACTTTAGCCTCTAGTGGTTAGAGCAGTGAAAGGACCTTCCCTTGTCTTCACATTTCTGCAAATGCCTGCATGTCTCTGATGTTCCCAGTATGAGAGGAAACACTGGGGCAGGTTTAGGCCTAAATCAGTATGATAGAGATTAATATGGTGGAACATAAAGAGTGTGAATGAGATGGAAGAAAAGCCAAAAAGGAGCGTTGTTGTGGAGGAATTGGGTAGCCAGAAGAGTGGGAAGAGCTGTGGTGCCACTCAAAGCAGTCAATGGCCTGTGTGCCAGGGCACTGCAAGGGCCATCTGCTCCCAGGGGTTCTCCACAGTCTGTTGGGGCAGGACCTGCCACCTCCCTGAGGACAGGGATGGGCCAAAATTGTGGAAGGTGGGCCCACACATGTGCTCACAGCTGGGCAGGGCAGGGCTGTGGGGAGCTGGAGACTGGCTCTGCTGCGGTGCCACCTGGGCAGGGCTTGGTGGCCCCAGGGGCTGACATGGGCCATGAGCAGGGTGGGGGCATTCCCAGGGGACTGAGCTGGGACAGCAAGGTCTGGTGGTGGCCTCAGAGCTTGACACCAATTTGGGAAGCCATGGAGAAGGAGATCCCTCAGAAAGAGAGGTAGAGACTGATAAAGGAGGCATTCAAGTGTCCTGAAAGCCAAGAGCTGATGGGAGGGACTGTGACCTGTCAGAGATATAGTGGAAGCTCCAAAAATAGAAGAGAGAAGAAAGGCTATGAGATAACATGGGACAATTATGAGGGTCCAGGAAGCAGAAACAGTGGTGGTGAAAGGGGCCTGTGCTTGGCCAGATGTCAGAAGGAGTAAGGAGGAAGCCTGAGGCCAAGAGGTGGGAGCTGAGCTGGTGGGACTGTGAAAGGAGGGAGGGCAGCAGGGAGGGGAGAGTGAAGTCAGCTGGCAGGAGGAAGGAAGAGGGCAACCAGGGCTTCAGAGTACAAGAGGGACAAAGCAGGAGCCACGTATCATGCTTAAGGCTATTCAAAATAAAGGGGTTTGAACCTCATAATGGTGGGAAGCTAGAGGGCATTGCTTGCTGCTTGGGGTAGAAAAGGCAAGCTCAGCAGCAGGCATGCCAAGAGTAGTCTAGCTTTAAATACTGGTGTGTCGTGATCTTTCAGATCTACGCACAGATATTGCATGGTCCATTGGGATGGATAAAATGTTCTCTCTCTACTGAAATGTCCATTTTTAGCTCTGATAGGCCATTGAAAACTCTTTTTAAGCGTTTACTGGTGCAGGGCTGATTATTTCCCATCCAGTGTGTAAATTATGTAATTTCAGGGAAAATAAAATTTATCTGTGGCAACTTCAGTTAAGAAGCTTTCTTTTAAAACCATTGCAGCCTCTTGGAGCTGTTTGAAGTTTGGGCTGAGAGAAATAATCATACTTGATGGATTGAAAGGCACAGTGTGTATGATGGAATCAATGACACACTAAAGGTGACTCCAGCCAGATTTAGGTTTAGCAATAACCACGTAGTCTCTGCTATGTACACCACAAAACTAAGTTTCCTGTCCCCTTCTAACCTCACCCATAGACAGCCTATTCTGGTGTGGATCTAGCCATAAACCAGCTTCCTCTGTAAGTCGCCAGCTTAAAATCAGCCTGCTTTCCTAGCACAAAACCTTTCTAGACAGTTTGCCTTTTAACAGGGTAAGTAATGCACCTTTCTGTTCACTAACAACTGGACAATAAAATGTGACCACATGTTAGGTTTGAACATGTACAAAGTAGCTCCCAGGACTGTTTTGGTGCTGGGCATGTTGATAAGACACCTGCAAGGTAAACTGTAATAGCAGTATCAATGACACTGATGTAAAAGTGGTGCATATGTAAACAAGTGAATAGAATGTGGGGCACAGAGACATAAAGGTTTGAAAAAAATGACACAAACTAGATGAAATGGGTTATAAAAAGGTATGTTTTAGAGATGGCTCTATGGACAGACTTTCCTCAAGATAGCTTTAGCTGCTGATTATCTTGTCCTGACAAGCCAATGAATGTGTGATTATAAAAATGTAACGTCTTTTTAGCAAGTTGCTTTTTCAGAAGTTGCTGTGAATTTAGTAACGAGGAAAAAAAAAAAAATCATGATATGTTTCTATAGTAAAGCTGTACACAAATCCCTCCAATAACCTGCATCCAAAGGCTTGAACCTAATGTCTAATTCACTGAATTAGACCTGATGTCTAATTCATTGTCCCACAAACCCAGTCTTTGAAGGAGTCAGGTGTAAATCTAGTTCACATAATTTGAACAAACTCCACTATTAACCCTAG